TGCTGCTTTTGGGAAATAAATCATCACGTGCACCCCAAAGACCTGAACCCGGAGAGGAGAGTTCAAACAGCCCCTTGCTCACCTTCTTCAGGGCAATAAACTCGCTCTCGGTGCACGTCCGCTGGCTGCATTCGTCCTTGTACCTGTGTGGGAAAATGGGAGATTTTGAGTTCAGCGCAATTACATCTTTGTTTGGGTTTCTGCAGGCCTTCTTTCAAGAAGTGAAACTCCTAATTCTTTTCCTTCTCCCCAGACAATGTTTTGGGATGCTTTGGTCTTGTTTCATAGCCTGTGGGAAAGCAAACGTGTTTTCAGAGAGGTTTCTGCGTCTTTACAAATTTGCAGCAGAACTGTTTTCATTTGACCTCTGCAATAGCAAATAGCTGCTGAACATTTCTACATGTTAATTCCTTGAATTAACATAGAGAGAAAGAGAACCTGGAAGAGGGATGTCCTCTGTTTCCTCCATCTCTCTCTAAATTGGGACCTTATTTTGTATACTGGGATCCCGGTAGATCTCTCCATCTAACTACTAGTTCTCTGGGAACCATTTACTACCATGAAAAGATCGCGGTCTCTGCCTGTTTACAAATCTCGAACAACATTTTGAGCCCTGCACTCACATTTCTCTGTTTTTTACTTACATTTTCTTGTTGGTTTCCAAAACCTGCTGTGCTGCTTTCAGGTCTGTTTCTAACTGGGCTCTGTTGCACCCCAGTGCTTCCAGCTGCTTCTTCAAGTTACCAATATAAGCCTCTAACATGGGCATGATGGTATTCTTGCAGTGTTTTTGACCCTGCAGAAAGCTCCACTTGGTCTCCAGCACCTTGTTCTGCTGTTCCAGGAATCGAACCTGAATCCCAGAAAGCAAAATGGGAAACAGGATGAGGCTTAAGGGCTTGTGAGAGCCAGCGTCCGTGCAACAGCAGTGAAATGTGTGTTCCTGCTCTTGGTACATGTGAATGCAGTGTTTCCTAATCCAGTGTGCTTTTGTGCATAGGCTGTTTCTGGGCCACCCATGTGGAAATGCACAAAAATCTTAAGCACTTCTAGAAAGGAGAGATTTGCAATAAATTGGGGATGTGCAGAGAGGAATGGGAAGGAACTGGAAAGCTGATGAAACTGGTTTTAGCTTGTTCCCTCCCTGCAATCAGGCCTAGAGATCAGATCAATAGCACCTGTACACTAAAGCTTCCCCAGTGGCTCATAAACACCTTGGTGCTCAACTAGCACCCTTATGCAAGTTGCCCTCAATGTCTAAAATGAGTTGTCTTACAAGGATTCCATGCCCTTTCCATGCTAGACACCTCACTTGGACTCTAGTGCCTGCAAATTGGAGCTGAGGAGGCGTTCCCAGCTCACCTTGTCAATGAAAGAAGCAAATTTGTTGTTGAGGGTCTTGATCTGCTCTTTCTCTTGGTACTTCACCGTTTGCATGTTGGGATCAAGTTCCAGTCTGAGTGGTTGAAGCAGTTGCTCATTGATGGTGATGGGTTTGATGGTGCGTGGCCTGGAGACTCCATGAACCCTGTAGCCAAAGCCAGCACCTCTGTAGCCGAACCCCATGCCAGCTGCACCAAAGCCATATCCACGTCTCGGAGGAGGACGTCTTCCAACAGCTATTCTGGGCCTGGAGAATGCCACACCATCAAGACTTCTGCTGCTGAAGTAACCCAAACCACAGTAGCCCATGCCACCACCCCAGTAACACAAGGCAGTGCTGAAACTACATCGGTTCCTGGGAAGAGCTGCAGAGGAAGAGCTGAAATTCCTGGCGGCATGGCCAGAGCTGGTGCTGTAGGAGCAGCAGGACATGGTTGCTGGTGGGAGAGGGACTGGTGCAGGCAATGTGCTGGGAGCAGATTCCAGGGTGCAGTTCCCTCTGACCACGGTGGAGCACCTTCTTCCTTTTATTTGCATGGAAGACGGGGCGAGGCCGCATGAAACTTCCACAAAATGTTTATGATGCAAAGAATGTGAACTACTTAGCATATATTGTGCTTACCAACAGAGAAAGCAGCAGCATATTTGCCCCATTTACCAGCAGAGAAGGCAGCAGCATATTTGCCCCATAAAGGTTTGAAGAATGCTGTTAAGTCAGAGGGGTCATATGTAGGTCTTGTGTAATAGCAACAAAAATTAGAGGAATTGTGCTGGGTGAATTGTTTTCAGGAGGCATGGTGAAAACTGCACGTTTCCCTTTTTATAGGTTGGACGAAGTAGAACTGAGCCTTTGAAAATGTAAAATGCTTTTCTGTCAAAGGAGATCTTTACATTTTGCTGGTACCTCAGCTTGCAAGTAAGAGTTTTGAAGGAGAATGTGATTCAACCTGCTGTTCAATAAAAACTATCAGTAATAAATGTGAATTTACTGAGAATTCATGAACAAAGTCGTGCAGGCAGGTTAGTGGTAAATGACCGGGTTTTGTTGGCTCCGTCTATAAAAAGGCAACGTGTTTTAATGCCAGGAAAACATCTGTGGGGCCAAATCTGTTTCTCAAGGTGATTTTTCTGCAGGTTGCTGATATGAGTGTTTTCCAACATGGTAATTTATTTGGGGGGAATTGCTGATTAGTTGAAATTGAAACCGATGCTTGGAACATGGTAGCTTTTGCAGGCACTCTTATTGGCCAAATCCTCAGAAAACTGGCATCTCCTCCTCCCCTCATCCCTCAACTTGAAGGTTGGGTTCCCACTGGTTTGGGGCAGGGCCAGGCTTGGTCCTTCACCTCCTACGTTGGGCGAGTGCCCTCATTGCGGCGTCAGGGCTCAGGCTCTTCCTGGCTTTGCTGTTCACACACCTGCGTGTCTGGCTCCTTGGAAGGACAGGGATAGCACCAGTGCCCGCGTTGCTGTGTGGGAGGGTGGCGTCTTTCGTAGGGGCAGGGTGGAAGTTTCAAACGAATGATTTTGTTTTGTTTACTGCATTTCTTTCCCCTTCCCTGTTCAGGGGTTGGTTACAATTGCAAGCCAAAATTACCAGCTTTGCTGTAGGGATCTGGGAGCTCTTGGACACCTCGGCTCCAGGGCTCACAGATGTCTTTAGGGTGATGGGGCATGAGAAGATCTAGAGTTAGTCTTGTGATTATCCTCAACCCTCATGCGTCAGACCATGTTGCTCCAGACTGTAGTTGTATTTTATGGCTCCGTGGCCGCATCTCTTCTCTCCACATTTTCATCCCAGGTAACGCCTTCTGCTTTTGATGAGACAAGTGCCACCAGATGCAACTGTACAGGGCTTTTGGACAGAAATCTGAGAACAGAGGTTGCAGGAGGCTGGTCTCGCAGGGAGCCTGACCGAAAAGGAGAGAGGGACAGCGGATAAAGCTACAAGTTCTCCGGTGCAACAGGGAAAGGCAGTTGAATATGTTGTTGAACTGACTCAAAAAAAGACCCCAAAATGTTTTGAACTAGCTCAGTTAAACCAAGTAGTTCAAATCGGGTTGAGCATGTTCGGAGTAAGATGTTTTGGTGCTACTTTTTTTTTTTTTTTAATGGAAAAATCTCAATTTAAAAAAAAAAAGGTTTTGATTAGGAAAAACTTTTTCATGGGAGAATTCCTCCTTTTCCAGCCTACCACAGGCTTCAGAGCAGGGAAATATCCCCTGCTTTTGTTCCTGTTCTCGTGATCTCTCGCATCCCAGCTGCGTTCACTTTTAGCAGGTCTGTCATACCACAGTGATTTTCAACCCCCAGGGAGTTTCCCCACCTCTTTCATCCTGGTCTTAGGGGATTAGGTCAGGGGTATGATGTTCGCTGAGTGATGGACGTGGGAGGAGTGTGGTGGGGGAGACGTGCTGTGACCCGATCTCCTCATCTCCCTCCCTGTTCCCATGGCGCAGCTCTGTACCCCACATTTTCCAAAAGCCAGTGGATCCCCTGGGGATTCTAATGAGAGATGGCCTCGGCCTTGATTTGAGTTTGGGTTTCTTTTGATTTGAGTTTGGGTTTCTTTTTTTTTTTTAAAAATGTCTCGTTAATGTGTGTTTTGTAACTCCAAAAAGAGGAGCTATATCATGTGATCTCAGATTTGCTGTGTCAGTTTATTGGGGAGAAATAGAGAAAAAACAAGATAAAGGCAAAAAACAAGCATCATAGAGGAATTGGATGTTCTAGGTAAGACTCCTCTGCTCCCTTTGGTTTTTAACTTTTCATTGCAATCATGTCCGTACACTGGAGGAGCAGAAACTTACATTGCTTAGTGTTTTTAACACAGGTAAGTGGTTCCTTAATACATAAGCTGTGCTAACTGTTCGCTGCCTAGTTAAAATAGCATTGTTGCGCAGGCTTTGCTAGACCTACGCAACCCAGGAGGAACAGGCAAACTTTGGGAAGAGCCTATTTCTAAAACTACAGCATAAAGTAATGAAAAGAGCAAGTTTCATAACAGTAGTGAATGTTGCAGGGAATAAGCAACGCAGACTGGACTGGAAGCTTTAAAATCCCCCTTGTGTTTTCTGCGTGTGCTGCTAGCAGGCTGCTGCTGCTATGAACTGGTGGAGTAAGGACCCTCCTTTCAGTGCTTGGGGTTTTTTTAGTAATTTGTCCTGTAGGAGGCTGTAGAGGACACGAGTTTGACATTGGAGCTCTTCCTGCTCACAACACTGTATCCTCCCGTGGTGGTACAAGGAGCACAGATGTCTCCAGAGCCGGTGATGATGCTTTTGCCACAGACACCTCCTCCGGTCACTAGACCTCTGCTTCTGAATAGGGATCTGCTGCTGGAAGAGTAGCTGCCACAAAGTATGGGTCAGTATTGCATGTGATTCTTCCTGGGGATTGGCACACAGCTGCAAAGAAAACATTTCAGCTCAGGATTTCCATCCTACAGAGTAGATCCTGGGGGACTAGTAGGAATGGGGATTTGTCTGGTACTTAAAAATATTCACAGGGCAGCCACTGTCTATGCACAGCCTTAGGGGGATGGGGAAAATGGAGATGTGTAAAAACCAAAGTCCGTATTTAATGTGTGTCCCTATAACTGGCTAATAATTGGGAGGTTAGAGGATGTGGGAAGCTGCCATCAGGCCAGGCAGGTGCTTTGGACCTACCATGACTCCACTGCTCAGCTCACACCTGTGAGGAGGTTTTCCTGAGTCTGGTGTCATGCCCGAGCAGGGAAAGGGGTTTGCTTTGGCTCTGTGTGTGTTAGTGTGAGCAAATCCTGGCCAAGAGCTTTCCCTCTGTCCCCTCAATTAGCCCACATGTGAACAGGTACCCAGTCATTTCGGCTGGGGTGGCAAAGGTGGTCAGGCACGACTGTGACTGAGCCTTTGGCTTGATAAGACCTGAGGCTACACAAGACAACAACTTTATTCGTGCAAGGTCTTCCATTTGGGGGGAAAACCTAAGTGCCAGAGTGCATTAGGAGCTTTTGACTTTGTAAGGTGTTTGGGTTCATAAATGCTGGAAAGTGCTTTGGAAAGTGTCACCACCTAGGACTTCGGGTCTCAGTGGGATTTGCTGCAATTACAGAGGTGATGGCTCATCAGACAGACTGTGAAAGGTGCTTGTGGGGTTAGATGTGTTACTATTTCTTCCTTGCAGGGTTGTACAAGCACCCACCTGCTTTCCTCTCCATCCAGCAGCTTCCTGTAGGTCATGATCTCAGTGTCCAGGGCCAGCTTGACGTTCATGAGCTCCTGGTACTCACGGGCCATGTCCTGTTTTGCCTTCTCCAGCTCGGAGAGTTTGCACTTTGCATCCTTGACAACCACTTCCCTGTGCTCCTCAGCTTCAGCAATGTCTCCTTCCAGTTTGCATCTCTGCAGGTAGGAGATTTTCATTACTGCCACTTATTTGCACATGTTTTGAATAGTTCAGAGCTGTTGAATCTGCCTGTCTGTGTATTCATCCACCTGCACTTTATTATATTTTCAGATTCTATAGACAAACCTTTAACTCTAGGATGCTTCTCTCTGCCTAGCTGAGACTTTGGTGTATGTGTTGTCTTCTCACTGCAGGTCTCTACTGACGGTAGTTCAGTTATTAGTCATAATAGACCCTTTTACTCTGTACTCTGGATACCTGCAAGTCTTAGAGTTGAGCTGCTGACATGTATGTCACCAAAACTGGCTTTATTGCTCCCTTGCTCTAGCGGAGGAGTTTTGGAAAGCCACAACCTGCAAATGGCAATTGACACATTATTGCCCCTGAGTCATCCTTACCTGGGCTTTGGTGTTTTCCAGTCAGTCTCTGAATCACCCGATTCAACTCCACAATTTCATTCTTTGTATTACGCAAGCTGTCGTCGTGTTTGCCAGCGGTTTCTCTCAGTTCCTCATACTGAGGAGAGAGAAAAATGCAATGAAAATAAATACCAGAGTGAGGAGATGAGTCAGTAATTAAACCTACTATGTGATTCTGGGTCCGCAGTCCCGGATCTTGAGCTTTAAGGCAAAAACCTTTGACACTGGGGGACAGAATGACTCATTTACACAGTAGCAGCTCTGTGTGTGAAGGCATTAACAGAGGATGTATCACACATAGGGGAAACACAACAGCTGGCTAAGAAAACAGACCTTTAAAAAGTCTGTTCGACCCAAATTAGGAAATCTGAAGAAGCGGGGCCCTTAGCCGTTGTGGGGCATAAATACTTTTTTGGGTGTCATTATGACTCACCTTGCTGTAGTACCAGGTTTCTGCATCAGCCTGACTTTTTTTGGCAATGTCGTCATATTGAGCTTTGACATCGGTGATTATGTCATCCATGTCCAGGCCTCAGCTGTTGTCCATTTACACAATAACAGAGGTGCCCGAAATGGGTGCTTGGACCTGAGTGATTTCCTAGGGGCGACAGTAAGATTATCAGTCGTCTGCACCAGAGGTGCTTTCCCTGCAGATCTCCGTGGTGTGGAGACAAGGAGATGCAGCGTGCTCAACATACCACGACTTCAGGCTCACTGCAGAAAACCCAAAGAGGGATTTTCTGGTTTAATCACTCTGGATCCTACCTTTACCATCAAGTTGCAACAGATTTCTTAGGATCTCGCCTGTGTAGTGCAAGAGTAACACCTTTGAAATCCGGAGCAATCAACTGATGTACACGTGAAACACCAAAAATCTCCATGAACTTAAGCGATGGGTTGTGGGAGCCTGACTCCACAGGCCCCCTAAAGAGGCATGGAGTGGAGGAAAAGGGAGCGGAAAAGGAAGAGCCATTACCACTTCACACAGGCTCCTCAGGCAGTTGATCACTTGTATGAGGGACTCCACTTTGGCTTCCAGCTCAGCTTTGTTCACATAGGCCCAATTTGCATCCTGAAGCACATCGAGGTTTATGAAATGAAAGAGCAAACTGCTTAATGCCAGCAAGTGATGAGATTACAGACTTTTAGGGCTGCTCTTTTCAAGGACATAAATTTTACCATGTTATTAAATTGTTTCATACTCTTATCCTCTTAGGCAGAAGACAAAAAAATCACTAGACACAGAGAAGAGAAGGAAAGGTTTTGACCAGTTGGGGTGTACAAACATCCCAAATGAACAAACTCAGCTAAAACTGACTCACTTAAGGTGGGATTCAACTCTTTTAATTAAATCTTCCCAAAAGCTGGCCTTTAGGTCCCTCTAGAGTCTCTGGAGAGTGAGAGGCAGTCTCACCCTCTCTTTCCAGCAATATTGGCTGCTGTTCATGCTAAAAGCCCGGAATAAGTGTTTGAATTGGTTTGAAATGCTCTTACCTTTTTGAGCATAACAAACTCATTCTCTGCGCGTGTTTGCCACTGAGTTTCCTCTTCACACCTGCAAGGAGAAGAAAAAAGATCACTTTGCTCCTCGTTATTCAGCTTAAGCAAGAATATGAATCTAATCTTCCTCTACCACCTCCAAATGCTCAACCTCAGCATGGAAACAAACTGCTGATGCAAGTCATACACATGTACATCTGGAGGAGATCTTGCATCTTGTGCAGCCTTTGCCATCCAAAAATTAGATGAGATCAGTTCTAGCCCTAGTTTTGGAGCGTGTATCTTTTTTAAACTTTTTCTTGTAATCTTCCATGATACCCTGCATGGTGCTCAGTTCTGTTTCCAGCTTGGCTCTGTTGCTTCCCAGAACATGCAGCTGCCTCTTCAGCTTGCCAGTGTAAGTTTCAAACATTGCCTCGATGTTGCTCCTGTAACACCTTTGTTCCTGTAGAAATCCCCGTGTGGTCTCCAGCACCTTGTTCTGTTGCTCCAGGAACTGGACTTCTGTCCTGGTTTTGGCAGTGATAGAGTTAATTTCCTTTCTAGTAGCTGGTACAGTGTTTTGGATTTAGGATGAGAACAAAGCTGATAACGCACCGATGTTTTAGTTGTTGCTAGGTGATGCTTACACTAGCCAAGGACTTTTCAGCTTCCCATGCTCTACCGACTGAGAAGGCTGGCGGTGCACAAGAAGCTGGGAGGGGGCCCAGCCAAACTGGCCAAAGGGACATTCCATACCATGTGACGTCATGCGCAGTACATAAACTGGGGAAAGCTGGCCGGGGGGGCTGCTGCTCGGGGACTGGCTGGGCATCGGTCGGCGAGTGGTGAGCAATTGTACTGTGCATCACTTGTTTTGTGTATTATTATTATTATTATCATATTATTATTATCATTTTATTTCAATTATTAAACTGTTTTTATCTCAACCCACGAGTTTTTTCTTACTTGTGCTCTTCCATTTCTCTCCCCCATCCCACCGGGTGGGTGGGAGTGAGCGAGCGGCTGCGTGGTGCTTAATTGCCGACTGAGATTAAACCACGACAACTTCAAACTTGGCAAACCCCTGTGAATGTAAGTTTGGACTATATATATGTATATATTTTTCAGCAAAGGTTCAGAGTGACAGAGATGCAGGAAAGGCAGATAAGTCTTTCCTAGAAAATTAAATAGGTGATTTTCAGTTCCATCTTTGCTGAAATATTGAAAGAGCTGTCTGCCATGGGTGGGAACCCTCTTAATTCTTTTGCCTTCAGTGGGATAACACTGAGGGCTTAGCCCTGAAAATCTCAGCCTTTTCTAAAGGTGCATTTGCTTTCATGTGATTTTCTTGGCATTCGCCACAGCCTGAGAACATGTTCTGCTCCATGAAGAGGATCAGAGAGACGTTCATGCATGCAAGCCTAAAAGCTGGCCTTCCTCATTTAGCCGTGCAACGTTTTAGGGTACAGCTGTGTGGGAGTTGTATGTGCTAAGCACTTTTTGGAACTCAGCCTAAAAGGAGTTCAGAGAGCTCAGCATCTTTCATGATTGGGCCCTGGATGCTGGAGAACAACTGCTACATGTGATAGTTGGCATCTTCCATGAAATGGAAGAAGTCATGTTGGCTTCTTTTCTCACTTTCTCTCTCCTGGGTTTTTAATTACAGACCTGAGCAGAGCTCAGTACTGCCAGCTTGTCTGAGCCAGCCCAGCTTCGATCTGCTGACACAACAGAAACCTTAGCTCGGGAGCATCACACTGCCTGGGGATCGCATCCTTGTTTAGCACCTGGCCTGACAGCTTTGTTGGCTGCTCCAGAGAGGGGATGGAGATAAATCCCTCCTGTTTTCCCTGCACAAGCTGCAGGTCTGGAACCAGCCTTTCCAGAATTTTAGCTCTGATGTGTGGGATCCATCTTTCCTGACTTCAGAACACCTTTTGGAGTGCTCCTGCAGTGCAGACATCTTCAGCCAAGCGCCTAGAGCGCTTTTGGTCCCACGGAGGGAGAGAGGTGTTACTGGGGAATGAATCGTCTGACCCAAAAGTGTCCGTTTCTGTCCTTTGACTGGCTCAGATGTAGGTGTTTATGGCCAGGTGGAAGCAGCCCCACCTTCTGGTCTTGCTCTGTTGGCTGTGCAACTTGGAAAACCTCCCAAAGTGCTTGGGTATTGCCGCTCTGTGACCCCTGTCTCCGATACACTTCATGTTCCCCGCTCCTCTCCGAGACTGAGATAGGGAGGAGGAGGATATGGGAAGGCTCTGAATGACAGCAAGTGCCTATGGCAAATCTTCTAAACTTTATTCTAAAACTACACTTTTAGGTGAATTTTGTAATGGCACAGAAAACCCACATTGCTCATGATAAATTTGATTGCAGTTTATTAAAGAAATTTCATAAAACTCATACAGTTCAACGGGAGCAGAAGATGAGAGGAAATGAACTAGTTACATTTTGGTATATAATGCTCCAACCCTCCTCTTTGCCTCCCTCCCTCTTCCATAAAAAGAGAAGAAAAAAAAAAAAAAAAGCAAAGAATGGAAGAAAAATAACATAAAATCCATAAATTCAAAACAACAGGCACATTAACAGA